ATCTCAAGGAGCCAGAAAAAAATAAGAGACAGGTATGTCTTGGCTCCTTTAATAAGGAAAAAAGCTGAACTTCATGAGGCAAAATCTTGAAAAAACAAGAGCGACTGAAATGGAAATCAGGTTTAACCAAATTAGATGAAATTGGCTGTTTTTTTCCACCAGATGCTAGCTTCATGTGCAAGAAGGGTTTGGCCTTTAAGGAAACACCTAATTGTTATTGGCTGTTCAGTCTGCTCTGACATTTATGAAAACTTTATGGGCAGCAATCGCTCCGGCTTGTGACATTTTAGATTCCCTCTTAAGCTGTGAATATGAAGGTTTTTTTTTTTTTACCTTACAGGCTGCTGGACTCAAACTGAAAATGACAACAGCTCCCACATAAAGTTTCTCTTTGGTGCAGATGAAAGGGTGATGAGAGAAAAAAGAGTGACGGTGTTTTCATCCAGCAGGAAAAAGGTCATAAATACGATTCATCCTAATAGAGACAAAGGTCCTGTTTGGTTTTAAGATTGAAATCTTTCACAGCTTGAAGTCTGAAGGTTAATGAAATGATAAAATAATAATCAAAAACTGTTGCAGAGACACACCAGCTTCAAAGTGTGAAACCATTGGCTTATGGTTGATGAGGATGTGTGAAAGGATATCATTGTTAGAGAGCTGCTTCAATTTGAACCAAATGTTTTGGCATTGAAATAATAAACTGACGGTAAACACTTCAACTAGAGAATCAAACATTTATCTGGAAAAGAGGAGGGAGAGCATCCAACAACAGCAGAAGTGCTTGATTTTGAGTTTTGGGCAACACATTGTCAGTCACATGTGTTGTAATACATATTCTTCATTGGCTCTTTTGCTTCAAACTATTTATTTTTTAGATACCACCCAAGACTCAGTTTTTCAGGGTTTTTCAGGTCACGTTAGAAATGATGAATAAAAATGTGTAATTATACATTCTAATGGTTTTGGAGAACAAAGTCAGGTGACCTTAGTTAATAAGACAATAAACACAAGTTAAAGTTGGCGAAATTTAGCCACAAAACTGCTTGCTTTGGTTTTGAAGTTTCATAATTAAGTTTCATTACATAACTTAAAAAGAATGAAATGTTGACCATTGGTTGCACATTTGACTCGATACAAGAGTGATGTCTATGATACTACGTGTGGATGAACATCCTTTTTGATACTAAAGGGGTATAATGTCATGGCAGCTCTCTTGACAATTAAGGCTCTTGTAGAGTTGTGTGCAGCAGATAGAAAAAAACTACGAGAAGACATGTAACACTAAGACGAGTCGTCAAACTTGTTCGTGCTACAAACCTGACCTTAGTTTTCGTCTGAAAGTTAAATGTGTGTTTTGTGTAACTGAAGGGGCGGGACACAACAATACTGCAGCTCCAACAGCCGATTCATCCTGCACGGACTCTGGCTCCAAACAAAGTCACCAGTGCAAGGTATTTTAGCACTTTTGAACAATGAGAAAAAGTGTTGAGGCATTGTTCATCCTTATAACGATGTCAAGTCTGTCTGACTTGGTATTTGATGGTTTGTAGCATACAGGCTGGACTTTCTTGAGGCCAGGTATTTACCACTGTGTGGTTTATTTCTGGCCGATTGTCGAACCTCGGATACAGGAGGAACAATCTGGATTCCGTCCTGGCCGTGGGACAGTGGACCAGCTCTTTACCCTCACAGGGCTTCTTGGGGGAGCATGGGAATTTGCTCATCCAGTCTACATGTGTTTTGTGTATTTGGAGAAGGCTTTTGACCATGTCCCTTGGGGGATCATGTGGGGGGTACTGCGGGAATATGGCGCCCCGGGGCCGTTGGTACAAGCCATCTGGTCCCTGTATGACCAAAGTGGGAGCTGTGTCCGCATCCTCGGCACAAAGTCAGACATGTTCCCAGTGCGTGTTGGCCTCTGCCAGGGTTGCCCCTTATCACCGGTCCTGTTTGTGATCTTCATGGACAGGATCTCAGGGAGCAGCCAGGGGGAGGAGGGTTTCCAGTTTGGGGACCTCAAAATTTCATCTCTGCTTTTTGCAGATGACGTGGTGTTGTTGGCTTCCTCAAGCTGGGACCTCCAGCAGGCATTGGGGCGGTTTGCAGCCGAGTGCGAAGCGGTTGGGATGCGGGCTAGCACCTCCAAGTCCGAGGCCATGGTTCTCTGCCGGAAAAAGGTGGATTGCTCTCTCCGGTTGGGGAGTGAGTCCTTGCCTCAAGTGGAGGAGTTCAAGTATCTCGGGGTCTTGTTCACGAGTGAGGGTAGGATGGAGCGTGAGATCGACAGACGGATTGGCGCGGCGTCAGCAGTAATGCAGGCGTTGTGCCGGACCGTTGTGGCGAAGAGGGAGCTGAGCCTGAAGGCAAAGCTCTCGATTTACCGATCGATCTACGTTCCAACCCTCACCTATGGTCATGAGCTATGGGTAGTGACCGAAAGAATAAGATCGCGGATACAAGCGGCCGAAATGAGCTTCCTCCGGAGGGTGGCGAAGGCTCAGCCTTAAAGATAGGGCGAGGAGCTTGGACATTCAGGGGGAGCTCGGAGTAGAGCCGCTGTTCCTCCGCATTGAAAGGAGCCAGTTGAGGTGGTTTGGGCATCTGTTAAGGATGCCTCCTGGACACCTCCTTTTAGAGGTTTTCCAGGCACAACCAACTGGGAGGACACCCCAGAATGCGCTGAAGGGATTATATATCCCGTCTAGCCTGGGAATGCCTCAGAATGCCCCAGGAGGAGCTGGAAAACGTTGCAGGGGAGAGGGAAGTCTGGGTTGACTTACTGCACCTGACCTCGGATAAGCGGAAGAAAATGGATGGATGGATGGTTTATTTCTGGGGTCAATGGGTGAAACAGAATAAACACAAATGGCTTCCAATCATCATAAACATGAGGATTTCCCATCACATTGTCATCATCTCTACATGTGTGTGAAATGTTTTCAGCAGTGCCAGACATCAAGTCTAATTACATAAGTTGGCATGACAGTCATGGAGCATTAATCAATGAGTTTTTGACTTCACCAGCTCTGTATTAAAAATAGAAACCAAAACTTCCTGCAATGAAATCTGTGTTGAAAAACACACGTGTTGGTTTAACTTCTGCTGTTAATCTCAAAGAAAGCTAAATCACATTACCTGCTAATGAAATTGTTGTTTAACTCATTTAAATTCACAAACAGCAGAAGAAAGTACCCTTTGAACTCAATGGTTCTGGTTTGCTCTTTGTGGTCTGTCACCTGACAGCAGATCAGTATTTAGGGGCCACTTGTATTGTGGGGCAGGTGGGGCCGTTCTCCCTGCAGTCACCCCGCTGTGTCTTCATTTGCATACTGGATCAGGTTATCATTACATTATGCATTCCAAGGACAAGCCAAAGCGTGATGGATGATTGGTGCAGTCTAGTAATCTTCACCAAGGTGCTTTGTCCAACCTCATATGCCTCCAAACTGAGTTGCAGTGATCTAAAGCTCTGCTGCTCCAGGGTCAGACTCTCAGTGCACGGCTCGTTAATGAATATTTTCTATTAATGTCTAAAATATTATTCACCATTTAATATTCAATGAAGTTTCTTTCTACGGGTTTCCAGGATATTTTTGTAATCATGTTCATACAATATGGAAACAATTGATGATAACTTACCTGGAAAAAGGGGTAAAAAATCACATTTTATGAAAAAAATCAAAACACATGATAAAGATTCAAAAGTTTCAAATGTCAGATAGACAAATTGGAAGATTTATGAGCTTTTGTATTTGTTTGTTTAAACAATAAGTACATCATGTATATTTAAGCTTATTTGCAAAAGAGGTTATTCTAAATTCCAGCAATATTACATTGTTTGCATATTTTTACAAGAGCATAGAAAGAATAAGAATGATCTAAAATGAAAAGAAAACAAAAATTTAACAAAGGAAAAGATACACGAAAAGAAGAGAAATCATGTGTGTACAAAAAGGATCTTATTGACGATCCTTTCATATTAAACAATGATCAGGATATCAGTTTAACATTTAATTGAGCTCAGCCGCAACTTCTAAAGGCTAAATGCTGAGGTTGAGCATTTTATCGCACTATACATCTCTTCCTCTCATAATAAATTGCCATTAAAATGTAGTCATGGTTTTAATATTGAATTTTCAATTTTTCTCCTGCCTGCTATTTGTCATAACTGGGAACAAAAAGTCAACTTGTGTGAGGAATTCATATGACATGACAACACCACATATCAGAAATATCTGATTAAAAAGGTTATGTTCCGTTGAAAAAGTTAGCAAATGTCTATTCAGTTCATACAAGATTATCTTTCGGGCAAAATTTATTTAATGTTAACCATTTTACAGCTAGCTTATATCTAGCTAACAACTAGTTTATAGTGATTAACCAAACTTGGTTAAAATTAGCTTGCAACAAGGCATCTTCTGCTCAACTACCCAAAAGCTCTCTTACAACTATTTTACAGCTAGCTTACATCCAGCTCAGGCTCAGCACTAGTCTATATCTATCTTTAACCAATAACTAGTTCACAACTAACTCAACAACAACATGGTAACAATTCTCCTAGTTTGCATCTAGCAAGAGTGCCCTAAATACACAACTTGCCACACAAGCATACAACCATCTCACTAGTTTATGACTATAACTACTTGCTGAACTAGCGTCTTGCCTTGGACCTAGCCTGGGAAAACAGTATCAAATGTAAAAAAAAAATGAAAATAAAAGGGACCTAAGATTGAACCCTGTGGAACTCTGCAATGAACTTTTAAACAGAGAGAAGACTTTGCTTCAGTACATAACAGTTACATTTGTGGATTTGGTGTATCTCTTTTTCTGTCACTTTATGGCATTCTAGATAACAGAAATTAATCTTGAAGCCATGGATGTTTTGAAACCAATTTGTACTTTAGTAACTACAAATTTGTGGTAGTAAATTGCAACAAAATTAAAGAAATAAAATTAAAATTACATCTTCCTGTGAAAAGCTTAAATAACACAAGACTTCATCCTCTCAAAACGCATTTATTCAAAACAAATATTGATTCATTAACAAGTTTATAAAACAGTGATTTAGTTACATAAATAAATTGATCAGTGTATCAAATCTTAGTAACTTCATGAGCATGATGACATGGTTACAGTCATTTACCTAATGTAATAAATAAAAGGGAGCATACATTTCAACAAAAAAGGAGCTACTAACAGACCTCTATTGAGGCCACGAACAAGAGACAACACTGAAAAACAGTTGAAATTAGCTTTTAAAGCACAGAATACAGAGCTGGTTCAGCTAGAAATTAAAGACGCTAAAAAAGGTTGAAGCCAAAGTTGTTTGTCACATGAAAAAAGTTTGGTAGTTAGAACTCCCATTTGGTTATTTTAAAGCATTAAGACAAGGCAAGAAAGAAGGCTGTTCTTGTGTTAGGAATTCTAAAGAGAAGTTAAAACCATTTCAACTGAAGAGAAGGAAAAATTTAAAAAGCGTAAAAAAAGTGGAACAGTCAAGAACTACAGTATATAGCAACTTTCTGTCCTGCACAAAGTCGTGGTGTCAGAATAATAGGCATGGACACGAGGCATAAAAGAAGGAGGAACACATTTAAGACACTGGAGCAGATTTTAATCTTCTGGAATATATCGCAACAGATGCCAGCTGAATGATGCTACTGCTCTGCATCCACAGTCGTCTCTTTCATTGACTCCGACAATCCTCAATACCCTTCTGTGTTCAGGAGAATACTATTTTGCGAGTCCATTTCCTGTCTTGAACAACTGGCCAGTATCTGCAGGTCATTACATGTCTGCAGAGATAAACCAGCCGCACGAGTCTTTGAACTGGCCCCTGATGCAATGCAAGGTGAACATTTTGTAGTCCTTCTGATATGTTTTTTATCTTGTTTCAAAAACCAAAAGTACTGCAGCTTCAAGTATTGTGCCTTACATAGAATATTTTGTCATAAATTAGTTAACATTTACATTTTTTTTTTCAATATTCAGACATATACTTTCATATATACAGGACAATAAAATGCTTTTGTTTTCTTTTGTTTTCTTTTTGTCCGGTTTCTTCCAAGAGAAATCCCTGAGAATGAATATTTTGCCAAGTTTCCACAAGAGCAAGCACTGCAACAGTAAGTTTTTGTGTTTCTCTCACAAATGTGTCTGTAAAATTAGCATACTGAATGTTTGAGGCAACACTGCAAAGCCAAAACAATCAGCCCGAAGTTGGCAGGAAACAAATCCAGTCTGAGTAAATGCATTCTGATAGTAAATTTGGAGGTTTCTTTCACTCCACAAAGCAGATGGTTGAGGCGTTTTTTGGGGTAAGTTGAAGAGTAAAGCTCAATCCTTTAAAAAGAGGTACTTGTCACTTCAGATGGAGTTGCTTCATTTGGTTTAAAGCCGTTTCTCTTCTTTTTGAGGCTATGAATGTTAGTTGAGGGAAGAAGGAGTGCAAGGCAGACATTTTGCCACTGGACAATACAGTATATACTCAGTGTAAAACTCTTACTTTCATACATATAAAAGGGACACACAAACTTGTAAGATCTGACCGTTTTCTCCTCAATGGTTTTGTACACATAAATACCAGCTTTCTTTCATGTTCTACTCTGTGTTTCTTCTTCAATTTCGGAACTTTTAATGAGAAGATTCGCCCCCAAAACACATTTTATATCCCATTGCTATTGTTTTGGGTAGTCCAATATTACTCCAAACACTAAAATCAATCAATAATCCCAATTTAAAGACATTTCTTGTGAATGAAAACATATTTTTTCCATTTAACTTGCCTTCAGGAAATTGTGTTGATCTGACCCTTTCACTGCCAAATCATAGGAATAAGATTTGCGTGAATGTTGCTTAAGGAGTATTTTCACTTCAAGTTAGAAAGGATATAAAAGGAGACTCAAGTAAAAAAAAAAAAGGATGATTTGGTCATTGAATCCTGTCAACCAAATCGCTCTCGAACAAGCATCATGAGTTTCTTCTTGCCCTTGTATATCTGTTTCAGGTTGTCTATGAACTGTGTGAACTGGATGTGTCCGTCATGTGCCATGAGAAACGTCTCTCTGGCTTTACTGAGGAACTCGATGAATTCGCTGTAGTGGCGTGGGCTGATGTGTGTCAACCGAGAGTGCGTTGTGTTGATGTAAGCTCCAATCGTGGCATCTAGTAATTGCCTGAGGGGAGCCTTGTCTAGAGGCATTAGCTTCCCAGAGTTCCTGCGGCTGTGCAGAGCCACCATACTTGGCGTTGTGAGTGTGCATCTGCGTAAAATATCCGACAAGACGGTGGCACATTTCACACTCTTCACCACCAGGGGGATGACAGATGCCAGTTCATTTTTCCCCAGTGAGTGGCTTAGAGCACAAGCCCAGAGCACGTCATTGATGGCAGGGTGCGTGTCCTGGTTGTAGCTGAGGTTCAGGTGTGTCATTGCTAACGTTGCTAGTTTGTAAGCCCTCATTGGATAACCGCGGTGTTCCATGTAGCGTGCTATTGTAAACAGCTGCGTGTAGTTCATTCCCGTGGCGGCCGCATCCAGTACAATCTGATAGGCTGTCTCGAAGGCAATGTGGTCCTTCTCGCACAGTGTCAGAGCTGACAGGGCACAGTTTTGGGGATCCTTCATGGCACATTGCAGGGCAAGGGTGCGGGCGGAATTGGCCAGGTTTTCTTGCTGATGGCAGTCCAGATGCAGGCGGACAATGGTGCTGTTCGACATGACTGTGCTGGCCACAACACTGGTGGCTTCAGTGGGGGTGAAGAGAGTAAACCAGTTCTGCATAATGCTGTCCAGTGCAAAAACACCTAGACAAGAGGGAAAAAGAAAGGATATGTTTTTAAATTAAGATTTTACTAATGGAAAGTATTCTGACTGTACTGATTTTCTTTTTGGCATTCCTCAAGGTTCAATTTAAGGTACTCTTCAATTTCAATTATTTTTTACTTTAATATTTTTTTTTAAAAGTGATGTTCTTGTTCTCTCTTCATTTGGAATGCCTTACATTATACAAATCCATTTGAAACACTACAATTTATTCCTTGAAGGATGTCTGGTGAAACTTAAAAGTATATTGTATGTAGTTTTTGACGCAACCCCAATATACCATCCTGCTGCTTCATAAACTCTGTAAAGCACATGTGTTATTTTGCCTCTAAAATGTTATGCAGAGAGCCGTTTCCTAAAGGTTGGAAACTTTATTTGAATTACTCATATGCTATAATTTTTTTACTGAAACTGTGTATCAAAGGATTCATTTGTGAGCAGTTTGTATTAAGGATTTAAGTCTTCACTAGGAGTCGACACAGATTTAGGGGAATTGTAGAATTTCTACATTTGTTATTTCATATTTGTTTCAAGAAAAAAAATCTTAATGTTGAGTTCTAGATTTATAGATTAGCAATAAAAAAAAAAAAAACTTTACAACTCCAAATATGTAAAAACTTGTCCATCAAACATATTATACAACTTGAAACCTTTATTTTCAACTAAACTAATGCAACACCAAAAACAATATTTTCTTTCGGAGCATTTCTCCATGACCGACATTACTGCTGGTAAACTTAATCATTCAAATCATTAAAAGTTTCCAGTATTCAACATGAAAACATGCTTCACCACTCTAAGTATTTTACAATCTAATTGGATTTTCTATTTCTAATTCTCTGACATTATGCTGCCTGGCCCCAATCTGCATCACCCACTGGCATGTTCTCAATGTGTCCATTCAAACAGCGCTCACAGAAACAGGGACTCCTTCACGAGAAATCATCTGGGCGGAGGGTTTCCCCCTCTACAGCTCAGTCTCCTCTGAACGCAGTTTCCTGTCCACTTCAGGGAAATCTGTCTCCAGGTTTCAGTATTCACGTCCAAACATGAGGCCCACTTAATCAGCCAACAGCCCACAATCTTCCATAATTACTACCCTGCCAGTCATTCCTTTCCCCCTCTCTACCCTCCCACTGTGAGCGCTCTAAAATCCAATTCTCAAGTCTTATGAAATTTGTCCTGGTTTTCAAAAATACTAACCCTGAACAGAAATAGTACATAATGATTTAGAGGGGACTATAGTAAAGGGAACTAACTATTTACTACGATACTGTAATATAGAATTTTCCAGCACCTTTTCCTTAAATCTGTTCATTAAGTTGCCAGTTATTCTGCAGATTAAGAAAAAAGTATATGCACCAAATATAAATGTCAAGGTTACGCTCCATTTTGATGAGCAACATGTTACTGCACCCATGAGTTTATGTGTACACTTTATGTTTAAGAGACAGAGAGGGGCAGTACTTAAGAGTTCTGTAGTTCTAGTATACATGAAAAAGCCGGATGTAAACTTATTCAGTATTTTCTAATTTTGGAATTTAATTTACTGATTGATTGATTGAAGTATTTGCTCTGTAAATACTTCAATCAATCAATGCAAAAACAAAGTAGCAAAAGTGTAATAAACAGTAAAGAAAAATTTGTATGTTGTTTGTGCAATATGTTTAAAAAACATATGGACTTGAAATTTTCAAAATTGGTAAAGTTTTTTTAGACAACCAAGATTAGATAACCTCATTAGCCTGCTTTATATAGCTGACATGATCGCTTATATGCTCGCAGATACCGTGTTTGTGATTTTCAAAAAAATCACTGGCCTATTGCCTAAAAAAATATTCAGAATTTAAGATAAATGTTTCACTTTTTTTGTTATGAAGATACCTGTTTCTCAAAGCATCAGACAAACTCACCAGCCTCAGTGGCACATGTGACGAGCCATCGCACCATCTCTCTCCTCCGCCAGTTCAAGGTAGACAGCGTCATTCTCATCACCTGTGGAAACCAAGAACTTAACTCTGAATCTGCATCATTTAGAGACATGTCATTTATAGAAACATGCCGTGTGTGTATGTGTGTTTGAGTGTTGTTTTTTTTACCTGAAGACCCAGCTCCAGGGAGACTTTGAGCAGCGTGATGTCCGGCAGGCTGTCCATCAGGGTGGCGATTTTGAAGGCGTCCTGGGCCAGCTTGAAGATGTGGGATGCCGAGTGGATGTTTTTCTGGATGGACTCTAACACTGTTTGTAATTTGAGAGCATCACCTGGTGACACAACAAAGCAAAACAAGAACAGAGCAGGAATGTTAGTCACCCATTGATCATTCTTAAAATTTGTGTCTTCAATCAGAGAATTTGTGTTCTTTTCCCCAAAAAATGTTGGTGGGGGGCTTCTCAGGGAGTATGTTAACTGGTAAACTTGTCTTTTTTCCCTTCATTTGTTTATCACTTCATTCCAAGAGAATGTTTAATTCTTATAAAAGAAATTAAGAAAGTTTTCTTTTTATTTACTACAATGACCAGTATGTGTTCATTAAAAGGTTTAAAAATGTTTGTCATTTGGTAAACACTGCTGTTATGGTGGTCCCGCTCAGCCAGGCTCCCCTTTACTGCAACATGTCACAGTATGAAAGCTGATGCTTCATCCTCTTTTTAAAGAATTATAAAACCATTCAGAAGTGCTAAAAATGAACTTGTAAAAAAACTGAATGAGTGTACCTTTAGCAGCAGTGAGCATGGTGGAGGCCAGCTCACACTGTTGGGTCTCTATGTGGCTGAGGGTGAACCAGCGAGGAAGCCGGTTTGGAACAAGGGACACAATGTGGTGAGGCCGGGACAAGTCAGCGGAGGGGGACGTAGACTCCAGGACGGGCAACCTGAGCAACAGAGGAGAAAGCATTATTAGTTCTACAAACACACAGAGTTATCAATGGATTTCTCCCACTCTATAAGGACGAGTCAAAAAAACAACTTGGTTCCTTTAACCCTGAAACACTTTTTTCAATCCAACTAAAACTGCTGGGATTTGTTGTGTCTGTAGTTTGATATTCCTTCTTTGAAGTTGAAGTTTGAGATTAAACAGAAAGATTTACATATCACATAAATCAAAGGACTTTAATTTGGGAGGGAGGACCTCAAGTTTGATACTACCCACGGCGGTCAGTGAGGAAACCAACAGCATGCATTTATTATTCAAACATTTTATAAAACTCGATTTCAGCAGCATTGAATTATTTAGTGAATATTTCAGTAAAAGGAGGTTTTTGTCATTAAACAGTGCCCCAGATATCTCCTCAATCTGACTTGTCTTTTCCCCTGCTTCCTTTATGTCTCCGCCACCACACTCTTTAGTAACAAATGAGACTAAAAGGTAGAAGAGGAGGCGGGCACATTTAAAGGTTTTGCCCAAGTCAGTAGCTCAAAGTCTCATATCTATCATTTCTGTTCCTCCTTTTAGAGGTTAAGAAGACAAGGTACCAACCGACTCATCGGAACATTTTCACAGCACGACTGAGTACCAAACACAAAACAGAGCTTTTTAAAAAAAAACTCCTCAAGGCGTGTGCAAAAAACAAAACACTGATGTGATGTTTTGGTGTGTGTAAAGGAAAATCTGCTTGGGTCCCTGTAGGAAAGGCTATTTCTATGATTGTTGCCGCCTTAAACGTCTGTTTATGGGGCAACTTTTTGAAAAACTTTGCCATGCAAGTTGCAAACTTTTAGGGCTTTCTATCCTTTATGTAACACATTACACATCAACTGTCAGCGAATGGGACGAACTCTGTTATAAAGCCATGTGTGGGCTGAGTGAGCTTATATGTCTTCTGACCTCACTTCGGCTTGATTTCTGGGTTAAGATGTCAAATGAAATGTGTGTGCGTGATGGTGATTATAGGGATGAAATGTACATGTATGCATGTAAAATAATAGTTTCATGAGCGCAGACATCTTCGTCCCATTTCACCAGATGTTTGCAATGATACCGTTTTGTTGTTTACGAAATAAAAAGAGGAAAACGTATGACTCTTCAATTATTTACGTGATGGTCATGGGGATTTCCAGTGGAAGAAGATCTCGACTGCTTCATTATGGATTCATGGATGATGTGACAAGTTTGTTTTTGATTTAGATGTTTAAGTCAAGTGAAAAAAATCAGACTGTACTGCCCATGTGCCAAAAAACGTGACCCTTGAGAAGAAAGCTCCTTGAACCACATTCATCTTGATAAAAACAACATGTAAATCATCTTCTCTCGATCAGAGGATCTATGGAGAAGCTGTGACCAGATGCTCATTATTTTCTCTTCCTCTCTACAAGTTTCTAAGAAGCCTCTAACAACAAGTTTGTTCATTTTGGACGATTAACATCCAAGTTGACACAAGATAAGCATATAGAAATATTGAAATTGAGACCTGAGGAAGGCGTTCACTACTCACCGCATGGCCCTTAATGCAATTTTATACGCCAGTTCAGCGTCATGAGGTAGCAGGGAGGTGAAGAGATACTTGGCAAACGTGTGCATGGGGACACTCTCTCTGTAGAGTAACTCCCCCAGACCACTGTAAGGACCGGCTGCAAGAAACACACAAACACAGGACATGTTAGAGAAGTCAGTACAGTCTGTACGTCAGAGAGAAGAACATGTAAAAACACAGATTTCAGCTGCGTGGTTTTTTTCTACATACGACACACTGGTGACCTTGGTGTGTGTGACATCATTTATAGCCTGATAATGTGATACCGCTGATATACTGACTGATCAGTTTAAGGACTAAACACTTTGTTCCAAGCTGTTGAAAATGTCTGATTATTTATCCTGTATCTTAACTTATGACTGAATATGATTCAGACTTTTGTCTTTACCATCTTTGTTCTTATGTCTCATGTTCTGTCACTTGCCAAATATTGCTTTTTTTTTCTTGGAATATACAAAATTAAGAATTTTTGGACAATATTTTCATTAAAATATCTTAATTAATACAAATTGACTAAACCTATGTTATATATATTTTTGTTGAGTACTTACATTACCTCAAATATTTCTAAGAGTTATTAAAGCCAGAGAAATCCTTAATTTTTTAATTGTAAAGGGATGTGTCTTGTCATGCCAGACACGACATGTTTATAGTTTCGGGAGCGGCTCTATAATTAGTTTGTTTTCAAGTGTTTTAAAGGGGCCTTGAACCATGATGAACCACATGTTACTAACACATTCACCTCTGTACACAAACATTTCATTCACACAACATCAGCAAACACAGAGACATCGCATTCAATACACTCCCAGCTGTGAACACTGGAGAACAAACAGTCAGTGTGTAAAAGAACATGTACGACACTCTTAAGTACACAGAGCAGACACAACTGAACACATTTCATGTTACGGCCCATTAAAGCACGAAGACGGTTTTGTTTCAGGGAGTCGTCCTGTTTGCAGATAATCTGTAGGTCATTGTTTTGCTGGGGATGAGAGACTTGTGTTTACATGTTTAACAAAGAGGAGGACATTTGTAAAAAAAAAAAAAATAATAATCATTAAGGTCAAAACATTTCTCAACCTGTAAGCTGTATATGAAGCCTTTAGCGTAGCTTAGCATAAAGACTGGAATCAGTTTGAAACAGCTAGCCTTGATCTTTCCAAATGTAATAACCCCCCCACTAACAGTAGACATACTTCAACTCATGAAGGACCTCACTAAGTACCATTTTTTAAAGGTTTTTTTTAGTGGGGAATGACAGTCGGGAAAGGAACCACATTGCAGACTCTGTACATGGGGCGCGCGCACTAACCACTAGGCAGCTGGCTCCCCCCACAGAGTACAATTATTAAGGGTAAAAACCCAGATTCGTATATCCTTTAGGGTTATTGTAAAAACAAAAACAAAAGGCCAATCTAGGTAGGAAATGTAACCCCTTCTCTTCCCCTCATAACTAATACAATTAGTTGGATACCTAAGCTAAGTCTATCGGACGGTCACAGTTAATTTAATTCAAGGCTACCATTTACCGTGAGAAAGATCATTTTGTGTACTCCCCACAATGTCATATCTTTTCTTTAAAATTCAACAGTCGTTAGTGTTTTAGTATGATCACCCCCCCCCTCTGATTTCATTTCTACAATTTAACAACAAAGCTAGCATCTGTAGCTATGCTGTGATAGCCTTGTTAGGGAAACTGCTTAAGTCTACAATGAAATATCTCAACAATAGTTGATTAGACTGACGTGTAATTTTGAAAAAAAAAAAAAAATCATGTTTTCCCAGAGGAATAATTTGCTGTTGTAAAGCGATTTTTTTCTGACTTTTGTTGTGCGCTACAAATATCAACGTGTAAAACTGAGTTTTGTGCGTGTGTGTAAGGGGCTTAAACGCACCGTCTAGCAGGAAGGCAGCTTGTTTCCGGAAGATCTTCACTAATGTGTCATCTAAATCGACTTCCTGAAGCCTGGCGAGGAGCTGCTCTTCGTTTCGACACACTTTCTCCTGAGCGTAGAGTCCATCGGGCATCACTCGCTGCTGCCCCAAACCGATCAGAGCCGTCTCCACTGCCAGCGACACGAATGACTCGCCGTCCTCTAGGAAACGCTGCTTTGTCGGGAAAACAGGAAGCTCCATCCTCCTGCCTGAACCCAGCGAGCCTGATGGGAAGAGAGAGGGGGCGGGTGAGGGATGGCTTGGGAAGAACAAACGTTCCCTTTGGGCCAAGTATTGATGAAGTTATTGATCTATTTGTTCACTCAGGTTCTTTTTTGGAGTGTGTATCCTCCTGAGGACTCTAATCATGTCTTTTAATGGCTTAATGATGCGTTGGCAGACCTCACACTTCATCCCAGGAGGGTTAACCGTCCCCGATGAACACTCACACTCACACTCACACATAAAAATCTGAGTGTTCAAAGTCTGAATAGAAACTTACACAACTTCTTAATCAGTCCACCTTCAGGAGAGAATCAAACTTTTCGTCCATACTGTATAGTTGAACTCGTCTTTCTTGGCCTGCTGCATAATTAATGTGTTTTAATTGGAGTGTGTTTTTCCCGCCACATTTCTTATTCATGAGCTGTTATTGGAGGATGACTGGGGGCCAATCAGCTCGTCTGTGTCATCACAGCTGATAACAACCTGAGGCTCCTGAGCTCTGACAGACGGGCGCAATCACTGCAGAGTAAATGTTCAAATTGAGCCCAGGAAGGTGTGTGTTTGTGGAGGAGGGAGCGTGACATTCAAGGGGATTCTTGTCATTTTTTTTTGCGACTTTATACACAATATTGAAAAGTATATTTTGTAGTTTTGACATTTGTTGGGGCTATGCTTGCTTTTAGACTCAGATTTTGAATTAAAAACACACCATAAGCTCATAAATTACAACCCCTTATTTATTATTAAATAAGGGGAGCAGAGCAGGCCCCTCATGTAAAGGTCCTGTTTGTTATTGAGAGACATGCTTCTTACACAAATGTGTCTGTTATACAAACACGCACAGGGTGTAAACACACATTTCCCCGCTGGAATATATTAGTAAAGTATTTAAAAATACAGAGGCTACAGTGCTCCATGTCCTCGCAGGCTAAACTCCGGTCAAGAAGCTATTTGATGCATGTCAGTCCCTTCTCTCTCTCTCTCTCCTCACATGTCCTGTCTCTCTCAAGCTATCCTGTAATAATAAAGTGAATTAAAACAATTCCAATTGATTTAGTGCCTCCAAAGCTTGAGGTTTGTAACATTTTAAAGGAAAGTCTATTTTCAGTATTACAGAGGAGTTGTTGGCCCTATTTTTCTTCTTCCCTCCTCTACCATGAATCTGCTGGTAACCCTTTAAAGAAAGTTTATTGACCAATTGGAAGGGTTGGAACCTTAGGTCGAGTAGTATCAAACAATTCAAACTGTCTCCACCTGCAGCAGCTCCAACAGTTAAAAGCTGCTTGAACATATTAACAATTTAATCATTACAGATATGATCAGATATCAGTCAGAGGCGAAATTCAATTCTGCTAATTTTCAAAAACATTTTTATTCTAAGATCTGTGTGATTTGTTTCCACTGCTGTTTATTGTGTTCCTTCTGAAGAATGTTTAAGGTAAACCTGGCATAAAGTGAACGAACGTGAAAACTCTTGGTGGAAGGTCAGCTCAGTGTATGACTGAATCATTTAGGACACATAGATAACCCATCAGCTGGAGGTGTGCAACGATTTCCTGCCAACGTTTCTCTTGTTTATATCTTTGTCACATCAAACAGGAATGCCTTCCTGTTGCTGTTGCCATGGTGCTTTGAGAAGTTCTGACAGTTAGGTGTAATCGGGGGGGGGGTCTGACTGCTCTAACTGGCTGAAATGTTGTGCCTAATCGCTTGTTGTTCGGCCCTTCAGAATCAGTCCTGCGACTCACAAATCAGGTCTAAATCTGCCAAAAATCATGCAGTGTGTGCCAGGTTTTAAAAAAGGCGGAATGTTGGTGTACCTGGGAAGTCGAGGAGGGTGTTGGCTACTTCCTCCCTGCCTCGCCCCGTCTCCATTAGGGTGCTGAACAGGGTGCCGATGGGGTCCAGAGGGTGACCCACCCAGCCCTCCAGGTTAGTGACTGATGTTACACCTTTATGCAGCAACTCTGCAGAGAAAACAGAAACAAAGATTTTATATTTTTATAGTTCTTAATGATACTATTCTGCAATGTTCAAGAATTTGGAAACCCCTTAGCCAAATACGGTCTCTTTCTTGTTTTCTGTAGCGGTTTAGGCTTTATTTATATTAAATGTTTTATTTTCTGGTTGAAAATGATTCAGGTCTGCGCGCTCTTTGAGATGGAAGTGCCTTAAGTGCTTTTGAATGGGCTGGGGGAAAAAAATAATTAGGAAAATATTGCTTCTGTAAGCACCAGAACTTTGAGGGTCCTGATCTTTTATTCATAATCATACCTCAAAGAGTATTTGGACAACAAAGGCCTAGCTGAAAAGAAAAGGACAAGGTAATACGCATCGTTTAAATGTTTAAAAGTAGAAGCCTGATGCAGGATAAACTGACCTTTTTTGTGTGTGCGGAAGAAGTTGAGCTGTTTCTGCTGTTGCCTCCTCAGCGTGTTGACGATGGCGATGGCCAGCCTGAGAGCTTCCTTTGGGTAACCGTGTGATCTCAGAGCGTCGACTCGGGCGCATGCAGTCGGGACGTGCTCTACGGGGGGGAAGCAGAAAAAAGTAGGTACATTTAGATGTCCTTTCTGATTTTTCTTTCATTTCACAAATATTGTATCTACATGTTCCTTGTTCCCTTACCGTGCCACATGGGCCACCCTCGGGTATCGAAGAGGGAGCTGTCGAGGTTGTCATGGTAACAGTAGTTGGTGTATTGGTCCTTGGTGATGATCTGCTGCAGGTGTGGGTCCTGCCAGTGCAAGTCGCACGCCTCAATTGCTCGCGTGAACACCGTCCTGTGAGGCCGGGTCAGTGAATCTTCAAGAGAGGAAAGACAAGACAACGGGTGTTTAACATCCCAAATAGTAGAAGAAGAGTACCGGGGTAGAAAAACAAAGAGACAGGTGCATGATAGGAGGAATAATTACAATAGTCTGGCCTTCTGATTGGGCTGGAGTTCCAGCAACAGCAATGACCGAGTCATGAGTTGAGATGGTTAAACTAATTTAAAGTTCATGCTTATCTAGCCTTTTAGGACTAAAAACATATTGGGTTCAAGTTGTAGCCCTGAGCAGATCTCCTTTATTCCATGACAGAATCATACTTCATGTTTATATGCAACAAATGATGGGATGAGTAATTGTAGATATAGTAAAGATATAAGTAAGACATAAAGAAAGTAAAAACATAAATATTTAGAGGTTTGTCAGAGTGTATATGTAAGCCTTATATATATATATATATATATATATATATATATAAAAAAAACACTATCTTGAGGGTTTAAAAAAAAGGTGATAAGAGAACAAATGAAGGCCCATTACAAGCCGCACAACAGCGGTAATAACAACCTGTCTTCTCATTCGAAACGGTTTTATTGCCGCCTGATAGAAACGTCAACGCGTCTGTATTTTCTCTGATTTAGTGGAAAAAAGCTGCAGGACCTCAACTGTGTTATTAGGCTCATTCTATTAGCCACACTAAAAAGGTAATAAGGCTTGCAGGCACAGAGATTGAAGGAGGGAGAGTTGATTAAAAAGAGAGGGGGGAAGGGGAGACAGAAGTGGTATTAGAGGACGAGGAGGAGGAGGAGGAGAGAGAAAGAAACGTTCTGATGTGATGAAGGGAGGGATTTAAGGTGGGATCTCTTCGCAAGCCGGGTGTCGTCTCACCTGGGTTGCCTGCAGGACCCTGAGGCAGAGCGTTGGTTAGATTGGTCAGCTCTGCGCCATGGTTACCATCCTCCAAGGGGCACACGTCCACACTGTTCCACCTGCGAAGCTGACGGAGCCAGAAACCCTTCTGCTCCGGTTTGTAGTGAGGGTTCAGCACGACACACATCCACAGGGCACCTGCATCAAGACACACACACACACGTTATCATCTATGTGACTTCACACTCTCAGCCTGAGAGAAAAAAAAAAGTGTAAATTATTAGTGTGAAGTGGTGATCTTATATCTGGGGCAAAAACACATCCTTCCAAATAAGTTCCTTCCATTATCTCTCTTTAAATCCAAAAAGGAGCTGGTAGCTGGTAGCCTGACATTATTGTACTGATGTGTCTACTCCTTCCGTTGCATTGCTCTGTAGTTTTTCCAAATCATTTGAGGAAGACAAAGAGGGCAAACAATAACTCGTCATTGGAAGCTCTTCAGAACCAAAATTGCAAGTAGTTTGAAGGTTTATGAATGGATCTGAATTTGAATAAAGCTATTATTTTTACCCAGGTACAAGTGAGACTGGTTCTATTTTTAACTATTATCAAAATAAAATGGTTTTGGAAAGGTGGGTCGCAAAAAAAAAAAAAAAGTGTCCAATGTTTTATTTGTATTTTATTATACCGATTCAGCTGTTCTGCCCCAATCAAGATACATGCCTGCAACTAATAACTATTTCCGCTGTTGATTTATTTGCGGAATACTTTCAGTGTCTATATAACGTCAGCACAAGATGGAAAATGTCCATAATTCAATCTATCATAGTCAAAGCTTCAATCACAAAGCAGTGCAACAGATGTAAAACCTTTTGATTTAAAATAATGACTTTATCTAAAGCCATATAAAAGCTTTTAATTTACTGACAGTCGACAAATTGTTGTAAATTGTGCAAACCTGAGCCGAGATCAGCTTCATCGTTGGATAAAAACATGCAGACACGAGAGACACAAGAAAGAAGCAAAGGAGGGAGGGGGAACAATGGACATGTTGAAGGATAAATAAAGGATGACAGATGACAAAATGAAACGAGAGAAGAAAAGAAAAGGAAATGAAGTGAGAAAGAAAGAAAGGAGGACAGGGAGGAGAGGTGAGTGGACGGGAAGGGGAGAGACAGGGGGGGGGGAGGTGAGGCTGAGTATGGGGGATGGGACGAGAGGAGAGGGGGCTTTATCCTCCGTCTCTTTGTTACGGCTGCTTCAAGGACGACAACGAGGAGGGGGAAAAAAAAAAAAAAGGAAGAGCGCAGAGAGGAGTGATGTCAGGCGTGAGTGACGAAATGCAGAGCAAGAATCCCCGACGACAACAACAACACGGGGATTATTGGATAAAGATAAACAAAATGAAAAAACAGGGGATTGAGGAGATTTGAGACCTACAGGCTGCCGTTTGTAGCTTTAATTGGAGTCTGATTAATTTTCCATCACAACAACAATGAGAAAGAGTCATTTAAACCAGCTGCCTGCTTTATCTGTTTTTCCTAAAAAGCAGCAGCATGGTGACATGAAACAGGAAGAAAAGGTGCATTTACACATGTATAAATATATATTCTTCTTTTTATTTTTTAAGGTAACCAAACATCAGTTGCTACACTTGTCCAGCAGGGCAAAGTGAAAAAGAACAGAATACATATATAATACATACAATTACCAGACAAGCTTTGCCTGCTGTATATTTATCTATGTAGAAGCTGCAGCAGCAACTTTGTGTTCAATACAATAAGAGGTGGTCAACCATGAAGGGGATCCTCACAGAATATTTCCTCCTTTACCAACAGAATGAAGAAATTGATTGGTTACGCGTGTGTATGTGTGTGTATGTGTGTGTGTGTGTGTGTGTGTGTGTTGTACCTAGTTCGTCCCACAGCTGCCGGTATTTATCCGTCATTGTCGTCCCTTGCTGCCTCCACAGCGCCAGTCTGGGGTCGCCCATGAACTGCTCGGTGATAAGCGTCAGCATGCGAGCCCCGTTCGAGTCCCTCATTTTCAGCATCTCCCTCACCTGCACAGACCACAGAGCATTATGGGTAAACAGTAACGACAGACCAGCCACAAGGGGAAACCTTGTGTACGTCTAGCACGCGTGTTGTAAAAGCATCCGTTACCTTGCTGAACAGTAAGTTGAGCTGCTTCCCGAGCCGTGGTAACCGCCCTGCGACAGAAAGAGCTTGACCTGTTCCTGAACCTGCTCCTCGTCCAGATGCCAACAGTTCTCGTCGTCGACGCTGGCGCCTGCCGTCGGATCTGGAGCTCCTGCGACGAAACAAAGGAAGTCAGTCAGAGAGTCATAACAGGAGCTCAAACACAATTAGCTAATCTAGATGATTAGATATCTGCATTCAGTGGAAGAGGATGTTCACAGGTCTATTACTGAAGGTAAGATCATATCAAGCTTGGGGAATCCAGAGGACATTTCTTGAGATACAGACATAAACATAGAAGAAAATAAAGGAGAGTGACACTTGAAAATGTACACGGAGTAAATGTTTACACCAGTGCCTGATTGCAAAACAATGACAGTAGGAAAAAGAAAAGAGTTAAGTCAAACATCATGTAAACACAAAGTCGTCACACAACAGCACAAACATATACGGTGAAGATTTAAAGTCCAGCATTAAAAATCCTGTTTTTGCAAAGCACAGAAGTGTGAACATCAAAATAAACTATTGACATGCTTTTCATGCAAAATGACATTTCAGAATAATCAGGATTAAATCATTTGAGAAATGTATTTCTGTGATCATCACTTAAATATTGGTAATGCTGGTAATGTTGCAGCTCAGTACAATAACTTGTCCACACTTATAAGTGCTCCTAGGATCCATTGAGTATTATTTATTATATTTCATTTGTTGTTTCCTCCCCTTTGGTAGTGTTCCTAAAGCCTCTTTAAAAAAATACTGTCATGATTTGGTAATGTTTTTGATCACTTTCTTCTTAGTAATCGTTCTTTTTGTCTTGTATTTTTTAATGATGAGTCATAGTTTTTGTTTTTCTACGTAAATTCAGGGGACGTCTGCTATAGAATATTTTGTATTGATTATGAGGGCCTGACCAATTAATCTGCCAGCCGATAATATCGGCCGATATTAGGGTATCCAGTGACCATTGGTATCGGCTAATTTTATCACAGATATGTGTTGATGTTACTGCATTTATTCTAGGGTCAAATAGCATTTCATTTGAGTTTCATTGCATTACAATAGCAGTTCTCTTTCACCAGCAGAGTGTCTTATTCAGATTACAACAAGCGTCATCACTTCTAAGAGTGTCAAGCGTTGAAACATGTACATGCGCAGTTACTTTCCTATTGAGTGACCATCTTGTTTCCTTTTATTTCTTTTTCACAAGCGTTTAATGACTGCATTTGAGGGATAACGCAGTAAATGTGTATATCTATATAAATCTATCTCTACCGATCGAAAAAGAGATCTAAAAAAGAAATTGGCCAATATATCGCTATCAGATTTTTTTTCTCCCCAATATCGATATTGTATCGGCCCCCGAAAATAATTCCATATCAGTAGGACAAGTTGTCAATGGCTCATTATTATTCTTCAGTCAGAGTTTGCATTAAAACTGTGTCGAACGTGGCTGCTGCAGCGTACAGCTCAGATTTTGTATTAATTCATTTATGCAGTGCTGGTTCAGCTTAAACACAAATCAATACCATAAACTCTGCAAAATCAGCAATTACAAACGTACACGAGTGAAAACGACATCCAGGGTTTTGAACAAATGTCCAATAGGGTTAATTCAATAAACAGACTCAGAAGAATAACCATGCAATCCATACATATCAAATCTTCTTCAGATGGACAAAATAATGTTACATACACAGCCATTACACAATCATACTGATGGTGTTGAGATGTTGTTGTTGGACATGTAAGACAGTGCACACCATTTAAAAAAAAAAAAATCTCCAATACACATCATAAATACAGTGGAACTAGTATGTTAAATGTTCTCACATATACAGTGAGCTAAAGAACCACTAACTGTATGAGGAGAAAAGCATTGTATGATATATCAAAACAAAAAATATCAGCTATTCACTCGACGGAAAAAAAACCCAAGCAGCTCTACAGACCCCCCACTAGTGAAAACAACAACTAAACTTGCTGAATTATCCCAAAAAGAACTCTAAGAAACACCTCAAAAGTCACAGGTAAGTTGTGTATATGCAAGCCGGCACACATTTTACACCTGTAATAAAAATAATAATATATGTTGCTGTTCTGATGCTTGTGCAATATGTACAAGTCAAATAAAATAATAAAAAATAACATCGGCTATGTTATGTGCATTTTTCTGTCAAGCCCAGAAACAGTAAAACAAAAGGAATTTTCCACATTTCAAGCTTTCCTGTGATGTGTTAGTTAAGTCAACCCTAGCCTCATTGTGTGTGTGTGTGTGTGTGTGTGTGTGTGTGTGTGTGTGTGTGTGTGTGTGTGTGTTTGTGTCCCTCTTGTTCTCCCTGAACAGCTTGTTGTTCCTGAGTTGTCTCCCTGGACAAACGCCTCCAGCTGGACCTCCACTGGTGCGAGACGGAGGATTTCTAACAGGGGTAACGTGCTTTCATTCTGCATCACGTTTGTGTCTTAGCACCCGTTCTTTTTTTGCACGTTAAAGAAAGTTTTTGCAATCATTTATAATGAGGCCCAATCAGTGTTTTAGGTTCAGTGCATATTCCTGTTCACTGTTTAGGAATGGAATATACTTCCTATTGAAACACATCAGTTTGTAATTTGTGCTGACCGACACAAAATTGAAAAATGTGTCAATTCAATTTCCATGACTCATAATACTGTGACTTTTTTGCACGATTCTATGTAAACATATAGCAGGTTACATAGTGCCCTGCTATTCTCATATACATGTATACACTGGCTTTGCATAAACACGGCATTAATAGAGAGTTAGTCATGACACTGTAAAATATAATTTTGTCCATAACATCATCTGCACTAATTCTGAGCTGCATGTTGCACAGTTTTGTAGCCAGTTTAAAATACAAGCAAAAAGAAGAAGCTAAAAAAAAAACAACAGGCTTTGCCAATGCCAAAACGATGCCAAGTGCAAAAGATTCTTCAACTCTGCCACAGAGAATCAAAGACCTTTTCACAAAAAGGTTGAAAATCAGCCAACAATCTGTTTTAAAAAAGGAAAGGAAACAAAAAGTAATCACCCTTCTGCTAGCCTTTGAACTCACCATGAACCTGGTTGATCTCGGAGTTCTGCGACAGTATCTCATCAGCCAGTTTCTGAGCCGTGGGCAGAACCTCAGTGTGATGAACTGTGATCAGGTACTGAACGAACTTCTGCAGCTGATCTCTGTTCATTTGGAAAAGAGTCTCTGAGATGGGCAGGCGCAGCTTGACCTGCTCAGGCTTCCGTACTCGGTACAGAGAGAGCGCCACCACATGTGCGCAGTAGAAGATGTCCTTGTTTCCGCAGCCGCAGGTCACGGCTGTTATTTTGCAGCGGTCGAAGCTGACGCTCACGTTGCAGAGCAGCTCGGGCTCCGAGGACGTTGCAGGTTCCCTGACCGTGCCGCTGAGGTGAAACCCTGCAGAGAGATGGAGGAAATATTAACTCGTTGGTACGATAATGAGTCACTTTCCAAAAAAAGAATAATCAAAAAAAAAACTGTTAATTTTTTTTTTTTTGCTGCTAGTAGCCATTACAGACATTTTTTTTTTAAAATTAACACGTTATTACTATTTACATTAAAATGGCTAACAGGTCTTTTAGATGAGTGGTTCTCAACTGGTGGGTCGGGACCCAATAGAGGGTCGCGGGGCTGTTTTCAGTGGGTCACAAACATGTAACTGAAAAAAAAAACACTTCAAAAAGTCTGTGAAGCGCTCTTACAACATGTTGGTTTTGTTCCTTCTCTTAGTTCAGTCACATGTTTCGTAACATCTGAGGTCCAAACTGCACAATTTTTCATTCAATAAATCTGATTAGTTAAAAAAAAAAAAAAAATGTTCTAGAGCTGTGAAATCAATGAAAGCACTGATTTGGTGTCATGTAGGTTTAAGAGCAAATAAATACACCCTCAATAGAAAGATCTTTAGCCTCTAGAGAGCATGTGTACACAATGTGTAAACATGAAACATTATCACATTGAAGTTGATATTTGGAGCTTTTTCCTGTTAAGTGAATCCTTATATTTATCAGTTACTTGTGTTTGTGTTCACCGAATCGTTTGTCTGACATTCCGTCCGTTTCAGTTTTGTTTTTGAGCTCTCGTAGTTCTCAAAATATTGGTTTATGAAAAAGGTGAAAAGCTTCACATTGTTTAGCAGCTAGTTTCTATAACCGTCTGTTTAATGTTTAGTAGGAGCTTCTTCTATCTCTAAAAACAGCCGTCTTCCGTGGTCAAATATCACATATCCCTAAAAATGTAAAGATAGATCTAAGAAAGGTATCGGCTGATATATCGGTATCAACCCCAAAAATCCCATATCGGTCAGGCCCTAGAAAAAAGGTATGAGAAAGACACACAGAGAGAAAGATTCAGGGAGACCCCAAACATTAGCGTTTCCTTTTCATTTCCCTTCCACAACACCTTTAGAGTTTGCCCTTCCTCTGAACACCTCCACCCTCTGACAGGGAGACAGGATCAGTTTTCCACAAGCAGAGAGAGCACTTATTGTGTGAACCCTATGGCCCTTGCACACATTTAAACCTATATGTGTGTAAAATATAAACAGAGAGGCAGATTTCAATGATAGCTTTAAACTTCAACTGGTATTACTGTAAGGTACGTGAGGGTCTGACAGGAAAACAAGCACAAATACTTTCTGATGTGAGGAGGGGGATGTTTAATCTACTTATGACAAGTGAGCTCTTTTCTTCCATTTTAGCAACAACATCAACACAAAAGCATGCAAGTGTGGAAAGTTGGATGTGGGAGTTGGTGAGAATATTGTGTCAAACCAGAGGGGACAAAGATGACTGCGCAGCAAAAATGTCACCATCAAAATCCTTCCATACTGACGAAAAAGTATAGTGAGAGAGAGAGAGTGAGTCAAACATGTTCCTGACTGGGTTAGTGGGTTAGCAGTGGAAAACAGATGGTGTCAGAGCTGATTAAAACAACAAGAGTTTATCATGTGTGTGGGTACTTTTAGCAGAGCGGTTGTCTGTTCTGTTTCTGTAGAGAACACGCCGTTTTTTCAGATCTAAAAACAAACGCAGTGATGGAACAAAAAGTGTTTTAACCAGATGTGGTGAGTACAAGAATGAAGAAATACTACATGAGAAAAGTCATGTGTCGAATATAAATAATGTAGTTTTAAGAGCCTCTTTTTTTTAAAAACTTTTAAAGAGATTATATTTTACAGTACAGTCGAATGTTTAATAACCTCAGGCACACGTCTGTGAGTTTTGGTGTCTGTGTGAAGTTGTGATCAGGAATAGGTTTTAGTCCTTCATCATCCAGCACAGAGAACACAAATAAAATATAATGTCTTCTTTGAGATGATAAACATAGTTGGGGGATGCCTCAGCATACATTTTTTATTCAAAGTGCAAAAAGATAAATGATTAATGTGCACAAAAGTACTCATAATGATATGTATATTTTATAGATGCTATAATGTACCATTTAACAACATTATATTCTTTTTTTAGTGACCTGAATATCGGAACTTTTTATGTA